GGGGCGCGTCGTCCACGGAGGGCGAGGGCAAGTCGGGCGAGACTACGACAACCTGGGCCTGCGCTGCGTGCACGTACCTGAACGATTTTGGCGTGTCACGATGCGACATGTGCGGCACCAGGATGTCCCCCCAGCAGCGCCCACCGGACGCCACATACCGGGACACCCTGATCGGCGGTGGCGGCAGCGACGGACGGCGGCGGAGGCAGGCGGGGGCGGGGGGCGATCTCGAATCTGCTGCCGAGGAGGCGGTGCAGATGTTGGCGGGGGCGGCCGCTGCTAGGGACAGAAACGGCGTCAGCACTAGCGGCGGCGGGAGCGGGGGCAGAGGGGGCGAGGACGACCAGGGCCTCCTCGACGGCCGGAGCACCATCTCCGGCGCCGCGGCGGGGTCCGCCATCGGCGCGATCGGCGGGGCACTGCTCTCGGCTGTGCAGCCCGGCGCCCGGACGTCCGGCGTCATGTCCTCCATGTTGCAGGGCGCTCTCATGGGCGGCGTGGCGGGGGCCGCGCTCGGTGGCCTCAGCAATGAGCCCGGAGCAGGTGGCGATAGCGGCGGCAGCGGCAGCGGCGGTGGCGGCGGTGGCGCCAGGAGTTCCGACGACGACTTTCGAAGGCAATGGCGAAGACAGGTGTCTTCTGTCGAATTCGTCCGAGGTCCGACGGCGCGCGTGCGAAGGGGAAGGGACGCGGTCTCGGAGGTGGAGTCTCTGATGCTGGCGCGACTGGATGCGCGGATCTTGCGACGGCTGGCGGAAGCGCACAACCACGACGCCGCCGGCGGTGACGCCGCCGGCGGGGGGGGAGCAAGTCCCGCCTCCGCCCGGGCGATCGCGGCGCTACCGGGGGAGACGCTGACGGCCGGCTCGCTCGCGCACCTCAAGGATGACGGGCGGCAGTGCTGCATCTGTCTCGAGGAATTCGAGGCAGGAGAGAGGGCGACGCGGCTGCCGTGCCTCCACCTGTACCACAGCGTGTGCATCGAGAACTGGCTCCAGACCTCGGGAACGTGTCCGCAGTGCAAGTTCAGGGTGGACTGAGTCTCGTCCAATCTTTTCTTGACCTTGACTGTTGTTGAGAATCAACCCTTAGCCCCCTCAACATTACATGGCTTGGCGTAGGTGCTGAGAGTACCCCTCAGCCCTCTTGATCTTTGAGTTCTGTCTTGGCGCAAGTGTTTGAGAGTAACGCTCAACCCTCTACGCTTGAGTTGACTTGGCTTGAGTGATAGCGCTCACCCTCTCGATCTTTGAGTTGACTTGGCTTAGTGGGCGACGAGTAACTCCCAACCCTGTTGACCCTTGAGTTGACTTGGCTTGGTGTTGACAGTACCTTGTTAACGTTCGTTTTTCTCGTGTTCTGCCGGGTGTCTTGGCTCAATGTATGCAGACGGGGCTCTCCCGCGGTTTGCATGCATGCATGTAGGCGTGTAACTCGAAACGTTTGAGAGGGCGGCCCAGGCGACGTCAACCCGCTTGACGACCTGGCCTTGACTTGATCTTGTTTGAGAATAACGGTTGTTTGGGATGGAAGGGGCTGTTTTTTTTTTGCTTTTTCCCGGGTCTTGGCTGGGCTCACCAAGCACACGGTTATTAGTTTCACGGAAGACCACGCTACCATGGTATGCCGAAGTGTTACACTTGAGTTGGTACGGTGCGGTGTAGACGGGCCCCTCCCGTGGTCTGCATGAGGATGTCCCCTCGAAATTTTTGGGGAAGGTCCAGGGGTGGTTCACTACATGTAGGAAGAGTGTCCAAGAAGAAGGGGATACTAGTCACGTCGAGATCGCATGCACCTCGATAGGGAAGGCGCGCGCGGGGGGTGGGGGGTGGGGGGGTGGGGGCTGAGGGAGATGAGGTATTCTGCGTACCCCCCTCCGCCTCTACCAGATTGGCTGGACACAGACTGGAAACCGGCGTAGAGAACGAATGGAATGGGAAATTATTTTTTTTACTCATGTATTGAACGTTGTAAATATCTACCTTTTGTATCGGAGGTTTGATGCCCTTTGGCCGGCAAGGGTTTTGGCGGGGAGTGAGTCCCTTGGGCTAGATTGAGCTGCGTTGTGCCCAATGTTTGAACGAGTACCAGAGGCGGCGGTAGCACCGCGAGATGTGTGAGCGAGAGATTCCATGTGCAGAATTGGTTGTAGGGCGCTTGTGCTGTGTTTTTGCGCTTTGCCCCGCGATGGCGTGTTCGCTGGATGTCTTCTAGCGGCAACGAACAGAACAGCGCGGCGCAGCAGCCGTAAGACTGTTGTTAACCTGTTCGCTGTGACTATGCTACAACAGCGAGAGGGTGTGCGCTCGATATGCCTGTGCGAGTCTCCCCTCTTGGTTAGGATTGTACGGATTGGACGGTAGCAGCACAGCAGTGGTGGGACGCACGCACGATGAGCTTGGGCTACCTGAAGACTTGTGGCTGCCGGAGTATTAGCACCTGTGGACGTCGGCGCGTAACCCCATTGGTTGTATAGCGTGTAGAAGTATTATAGAATGAAAAAAATGACCCATTGAGGAACAAAAAGGTCGCTGAAACCTCAGACGTCACAACCTAGGGTTCCCTGTCTGCAGAGGAACTGAGTGAAGGACAAAGAAGGCAGTTCTTACTCGGTACCGAACGTCCGGTAACATCGCCCAGATATGTCGACTCCGAGCCGCCTGTGGATAACTACTTTGGGATACTTGTGCACACCTCATTCTCTCCACCCGTGGGTGACGCGCGAGCCACCGGGGAACGAGCGTAATGCACGGGGCTGGACCAACTGGCACCGCGCTCAGCGATCTATGCAGTCGTCAAACATACAAAGTTTGTGGCTTAATGGCAGTGTTGGCGCGACATGCACACTTGCCGCCACAAGCACCGCCCCATCGTTCGGTCGGGAACTCACCACACCAGCACACCGACGAGAACGAAAACATCGCCACTAAACAAACGTTTGGATGGCAACAACGACAACGAGGGTGATTCACACAGATCGATCGAAGTAGTCGCCGAGTGGGCGCAAAACAGACACGTGAAGGTCACCATGCCGCTTCCTTTGCAAGGCGAACACACCCTCATGTCAAAATGATAGATACAACATCGTGACCCAGCCGATGCAAAGCTGTCTAAGCACGCGTTCTTGCCTGCATTATCTGGCCAGTCAACTACTCGACAGGCCGACTGACACAATACGGCCAAAAGGTGCCACGCGAGGAACACACAACCTAAATTGCAACCCTGCCGGGGCTCCTAGGCACGAATGGGGCTGTAGTAACTCCCAATCACTTGATGGCATCGCCCCCCCCAACGCGCGACCCCCCTCCCTCGTCGAACCTACAAACACGTAACCCCAAAGACACGAGAGATACATCGCCACCCGCACCAATGCCGGCAAAGGGCATCGACCAGACCATTAACGTATAATGCCTTGCCCACATGCTCTGTCACCAAGACGAAAGCCCTTCGATGGCAACGGCGTTGTGCAGGGTTTACGACTTTTAATCACTGGGATTGAGAGTAGGGATCTCCGGGGACGGACCCCTCGCCAGACGCTGCCGGAAAAGAACTCCATGATGCTTGGGAAAGTGACCAGCCGGGATTTGAACCCGTGCGTGTTACTTGAGCGCAGTTGATATATGTCGGCGCTCTCCGCATTTCTCGGCCGGGGGGCTACGCAAAATTGATGGAGCGGATAAGAAGGGGGGTGTCATCTCATAAGACCCAGGAAGACCCAGATGCAAACAATCAACATGATGAACACCTTGATGATGATGCCCCGGTTGCCGCTCGTAATCTGGTAGTACCTAGAGGAAGCAACAGCAACCAGACAAGCGCGAAGAAGTCGAAGAAGCGAGGCGCGTTGAGAAGAACCAAGAGTAGCTAGGCATACCGAAGAACGCGAAGAAAAGAACACAAGCACCTTGCGATTTTCGCCTCTCTCTTCCCCTTCCGCAAGGTGGTTCCACAAATCGCATGTCTTGCGAAGCAGCAACATTCCAACATCTCTCTGTGACCCGCCATCGAAAGCAAAAACTCGTACATTAATATTCTCCTGCTGACGCATTTTCGTTGTTGGACGGCATGGTATATCCCATTCCCCAGGACACTCACTTGGCGAGGTGCGCCTGTCCCTCTTCGGCGAAGGCGTGAGCGGCCTCGACGTCGTCCTCGATGTGCATAACCACCTCCTCCTGCGCCGCCACCATCGTCGAGAAACGGCTGAACATGTGCCCCAAATCGCCGATCATCTTCTCCACCTGTGATTTTGTTTTTCGTCAGGTTCAAGTGCGCTGGTTAAGGAGAATTATTAGAATGAAAAAATATCGAACCTACTGACAGCATACTTTCTGGCCTCCCTTCCTCTGTCTACTTTGGTATTGGCTCAAGCTTCATCATCTTCTTTCTTCACAATTTTGCGCCTTTTTTGCATAAACGCCGGTCTCTGGGCAATAACAGCTGTATCGGCCACAACAAAGGCTAGCTTACGTTCGTACTTATCGGGGGGGTTGGATGTGTCTTTTACCTTGTGTGATTCGTCCACTCTGGTCTTGGAGTCCTCTTGGACCTGAACTTGCCATGCCGCTCGGCGGGACTCCTCCTCCGCGTCACCCCCATCCTCTCGCCCTGGGGGGCGACGGGACATGACGCAACGTGGTGTGTGGCGTGGGGAGGGGATGATTTTGGGCTTGGTTCATGAGCCTCTCTGCCCCTTGTCGTACGAATCTCGTTCATTCTACCTCAGCGAACGAACGCAACGACTCAGTGGCTCGTTCGTTGTGAACGCCAGCACCAAAACAATGCACCAGGAGGGAATTGCGAAGGATTGGTACACGAAACCCAAGCAGGAGAGTATGACTGCATGTGCACACTAAAGAGAGAAGGCAACCAACCACTGCTTAAGGCGTTCAGACGCAAGGAAAAATCAAGAGAGAAAGTTGGAGAACTAGGAAAAAAGCCACCACAAAAGAGTGCCGGCACGGTCCCAAAAAAACACCAAACGAATCGCCAAAATAACACAAGAGCCAGCGCAGTGCTGGTGCTGTTACCTACTGGAGTAGACAAAAAGGAGCAGAAAGGTGAGAACGCTAACCGCAGAAAAGCACCCTGACGAAGAATCCGTCAACGCAAAATACCACCCCCTACCCCTGGTGTTCGCCATCGGGGTTGGGTTTTCGTCGCTTGGCAACGACGTTGTAAAACAAGCCCCCCCCCCCCCCTCGGTGTTTGCCATCGGGATTGGGTTTTCGTCGCTTGGCAATGACGTTGTAAAACAAGCCAATTCACTTCGTGAACTCGGCTACCAGGATACCGTGTTTTTTTCACCTCTGTTTTTTTTGGCGGTAGCCATAATGGTTGTCGAGTAGATCATGTTGTGCGGGGTGGAGAACCCTCACTCCGCGCAAGGGGGATGATCGCACCACGTTGTGTTAAAATGGTCAAGCACCCTCGAGGCAGTTACACAGTGCTTACAACTGTCTCTGGAAGTGAAGTACCAGAAAAGAAAATAAGTCATACGCAGCTGTCATCCGTATGCAAGGAAGTAAGCACAAGATGCCGAACAACCTTAGCAGGATGCAGCGCACCCTTCATGCGACTCGCCGAATACCTCACGGCGCTTCGCGCTTGGTGATGTGAGAGCCTGGTCCGGTGAGAACCCGGTGTGCTCCGTCTTGGCTTTGTAGGGATGCGAGGTCAATGGTCTAACGACTACGACATGCACGACTATGAGTACACCCCACTCTCCCGCTCTCAACGCGCAGCACTTTCCGTGTCCTGCCGGTGTTCTATCAGAGCACCCCACCTGGTCGTTTCCGCAGCCCAGTGGCGCGCCCACCGCCTCTAGACGCCTCGGTCCGAAGAGGCGGAAACCCTGGCGGAGCCGCCGCATGCGCTCTCCCGCTCCCACCCCCCGCAGCCGGTGGTACGTAACCGTTGGCACTGCCAAAGGTCGGCGCCGTATGAGGCCCCGCCCGGAACCCTCCATTGCTGTCTGTTCGCGCAGCAGCAGCTGCTGCTGCTGCTGCCGGTTCTGTTGCTCGTGGCATTGCTCCGACGGCGTCGTACCCCCCTTTGCCAACGCCCGTCGAACAATTATTGCCGTTGCCGTTTCTTCCCCCCTCTGCCGACCACGGCGCGGGGACCGCCGATTTCTGGGGCCAGGAGGAGCCGCCTGTACCCCCCCCTGCCCTTGTGCCTCCATTACCGGAAGGGAACGGCAACACCGACGCAGCCTTTCCGCCTTTTCGGGGTCCGTGTTTGTGCCCCTTGTTGTCCTCGTCGTCTTCGTCGGGGAGAGGCGGCGGGGGGGACGGCAGATTGGCCGTCGGGCGGCGGCGGCGTGCCCCTCCCCCGGCGCCGCCGCCGCTGCTTCCGAAGAGAGGGTAGTCCAGCTGGGTCGCGGGGGCGACGCCGCGGGAGTGCGAGAACTTTCGCTGGCGTTCGTTCTGCTGCTTCTCCACCTGGGTTTCGTTTCAAGCAAACACACCAGCGTGAATGTCCACGAGGTTGGTTGCGGTTCACCTATCGTGTGAAGGCTATAATATATATGCGCGAATCATCACTGCATGGGACTTGTACCGAGATCGACAACTACCGTACGCACATCACGACGAGATCCAACAGCGACTCCACATATGCTGTTCGACAGACCCAATGTCAATGCAACGGATTACCACGACACGGAACGCCAACAATGCGGACGCGCTTACCAACACAAGCCGGCAGAGCCTTTGCAATCGCAAGAAATACCACTTGCCTCTCCAGGTACAACGCATTCGCTTCCCTCCGACCCCGCTCTCCTCCTCACCCCACGGGGGAAGACAACCTACATATACCTACATGTCACAGAGAGCGGCAATACGCGTCGCAACCTTCTCTCCTCTTCACGCTCACCGCTGCTCGCAGCATGAGCGCGTCACGAAAGGCCTTCGTGTGCTCCTGCGCGCTTCTCCGCAGCGTCGTCACGATAAACGCGCAGTGCATCTGCCGCTGGCTGTTGGCCGGCGGGCTCCCCCTGGTGCCGCCATCTGCGTACCTGATAAATTTAGTGCAGACAGACAAGGGCAGTTTGAGAGGAGGGAGGGAGAAGTTGGCGCGGGGTGGGGATAAGCCGCGCGGAAAAATAAAATTTGACTGTTCTTGTTCTCCGCGACGTACGGTAGAGTCTCCGTCGTCGTTTTGGAAAGTGTTCGCCCAGCGTTATTTGGTCAAAACAGCTCCTGCCTCACAATGCAAAACGTTGAGGGCCACGTATTTCATCACGCACGGGGTCGGAGGATGAAACGCAGCCTGCCGACCTCACCACAACGCGAAGCGAAGCGAAGTGAAAGGGCAACGGCCCGAGAGCCACAGCCGTGGTGTCGTCGAGGACCCATCGTGCACATGATGACCATGCAGGGCCGGGCGATACTATCACGGTCTATCCCCGGGTGGCTTTCCGTTGAAGAGTAGGTGTATTAGGGGGAAACTTTAATATTTTCTTCTCCCGGTGTGCGTGCGTGATGCGCGCGCCAGCCCCACCTCTGCAGCGACGATATGTCTTTCTGTAGGCCGGCCATGTCCCCCTCGAAGAGCTTCATGACGTCGCTTATCTCGGCCGCCGGGTTGTTGCTGAAACCCTTGCGTCCGACGAGCTTCTTCAACCGCCCGATCTGATGCAGGAAAAAATGAAAGTAAAAGACGTGAGTAGGGAGAGGAGGCCCTATATGAAAACAACTCATCGTCTCTCAATTTTTCTCGAGTGAATGAATTTGCTTCCCAACCAAGTGGTAACTGCGTTACGCTATTCGGTGGAAAACAGCCACGCATCAATACTGGGTCGGAATACGTAGCCGTTACAACCGACCCGAGCAACGCACACTTCGTGCCCGAGAGGCGGTCATATGCACACAAAAAACAGCTGGCAGGGTTGTCATCACTATCATACACATTTGGCGACCAGACGCTACCGCTTTTTAGCCTTCTCGTTGGTGTTACACCGGCCTGTACGACATGATTCAACGGACGACCGCTGCAAAGGCCGCGTGCCTGGTGGCCAGTCAGCGTTGTCCTGCTTGTTCCTTGTGAGGGCATATACTTTCTGCTGTGTACAGCAGTACTACGTAAAAGTAATCATAATAGTTGTGTGCCTTCATGATTGGTCGAATGTCTGCTGGACACGACACTTGAGGGTTTCAAAACATTGCACATCCCCAAGCATAGCAATTAGGCCGCCGAAATCCCAGCAAAATGTTCAGCAGGCGTGCCAAATGTTTCCGTGCAAGAGAAGGTTGCCTACCGGACCGGCAATTGCTGTTGCCTTGTGCGTACAAGTACTCTTGGTCGAATTCCCCATCACAAGGTCTTGGCAAACATCCGAGGGCGTGTAGCGTATGTGCAACTCAATGTCCCACCTGCAAGCAGTCAATACCACGCAGTCCCCGTAGCAAACGTGACATTCGCGCTCCTGTACCAGCTAGCAAGACCACACTACCACCCACGCCCTGTAGCTTCTGGCAGGCAAGAAGATACCCACCAGCCTGGACGTGCCCTCGAAGCCGACTGCGACGCTCGCAGCGAGCTGGAGAAACTCCGACGTCTTTCTGTACCCGAGGTCGGTCTGTGCCCTGATTAACGCTGCCTCTCCGCTGTTGTTGACCGCCGTGACTGTGGGACGGAAGGCACTGACCGCCCCGTGGAACTCCTTGGTTCGGTCCGTCATGGTCATGTCTCTCTACCTCCTCTTGGCAGTCTCGCCCTGTCGCCCCTGGGACGACTGCTGTGCTGCACTCGGGAGAAGGGGGCGGACGGCGGGCGGACCAAAGGAAAAAAAGCCTTTTTCCATTTTTTGTCCCTTTCCTGCCGTGCCCCCTCCCCACGAAGGCCTTCGGAGATCAAACTAGAGAGAGGGAACAGCACAGCGGCTGTCTTGGGGAGATCCTGCTCAAAAAGCACTGAGGTGTGTGTGCACGGCAGGCAGAGAGAGAGAGAGAGAGAAGGATCTTTTGGCTCCTCAGCGTACTTGTCCGGAGCGAGAGGTAGAGGAGGTGAGAGCTACTTGGCTTATCGTCGTGCTCCTTGTTGTCTCCCAGGACAGGAGAGGGCCGAACGGCGGTGAAAGCGCACCAGCAGGCTTGGGAGTTTTGTCCTCCGCCCGCAAAGCAACCGACAACAGAGATCGCGCTCTCGAGCTTGGATAGAGTTGCGTTGCGAGCAGCGCGGTGTTAGATTCGGTGTCATGGCGACATGACGGAGCCCGCCTCTGCCGTGTAATCCAAACTTTTTCGTCTTTCCCCTCTCTACAACCTGTGTTTTTTCACCCCAAGCTGCATCGTTTCTTGTATTATCCGCTCCGCCTCTCTACTCCTCGCCATGCTTGTTGCGGCAACCCGCCTCGATGAACATGTTTGTTGTTGTTTCCCACCACAACCAGCGCGCGGAATTTGCTTCTGGGTTTGTCTCGTGTGCTGTTTGTACAAAATCGCTTCATCAAACACGCGTCAAAATTCATCATCCCAGAGTTACACAAGACAGCGAGAGGGTGATCCCGCGTCCGGAGGGGAGAGAAGCGCGCAACAAGGGCAGCCAAAGCCACAAATAACTACCTTGAAAAACTGCTGTCGCTCTCCCATCGCACCCCCGCCCCACGGTTTCGGTGCTCTGGTTACAAAGTGGTTTGCGGTGTGCGCCGCGCCCGCCGCTGCGTGAGTTGCGGCCCACTAGCGAAACCTGGCATGATTCCTGTTCAGCTCTTCCCGATGCCCTACACACTGGGACAATGAAGGGACCGTGATGTTGAACCCTACACACCCGAGCCCCACACACACGAGATGATGTGTGTCTTGATCCACACCTCCGAACAGCAAGTAGACTTTCATTTCCACCTACCGGATCAAGAGAGCGTTTCTTTTCGCGGAGCCCGGTGCATGCTGCGCTTGCTTGTTCTCCGGCTTGTAGCTCTGAGGTCACGCCCACGCACCCACGAAAGCATCACAAGACCGGCAAAACGAACAATGCTGGCCCGTTTCCGTCATGCACATGTACACTCTTTGACGACGCCCGCAAATATTTGAACACGCTCCAGTCCAACATGGAAGATTAACCTGCGAGTCTTTCTGCAATGGTAGCCGCACTCGACCTAAGCCACGGCACGCATCAGAAACCCTGGCACAATCTTTTCACCTTTTATCGACCGATACTACTTCTGTACTGCTGCATTGAGTGCATTGCTTGGTTGTCTCCCTACATTGTTGTTTCTCACGTTAGCTCTTTAGTCCACAAAAAATGGGGAGCCCGTGGTCTCAAAACCCGGCACATACGACGCCGCGGGGAAACAAAAACAAAAATAGGGTACAAACCACTCGGAAAAAAAACAAAATGATGTAGAAAGAAAGGAACAGGTATCGCACCAACCGGTCGACAAAAGAGCCCTCGGAAACCGATCAAAATAAAACAAAGACAGCAATGTCGGGGGACGCTTCCCACACCCGCCTAAAAAGTCAAACGGTAACGTACCAGCACCAGGCGCTACGCACCAGGGCATGGGAGCAACGGGGCCAACAGAACAAAGAGGCGGCAGATGGGCAGACAGCCAGATGTATAGAAACAAACGCAACAGCAAAAGGGAGATCAAGGTACCCAACACAGCAGAGTAGGCAGGGAGGACATGAGAAAAAGGAACACAGCACAGAGGCCGAAGGCAATACAAAGGACATACATAACGGAGTATAGCATACAGCAGAGCGGGAAACAGGGCGCAGCAACATCAGCCGGGTACATACTTCGCCACAAGTGCTGCCTCGGCCGCCCTACTCGCTTCTACAGCAGTGCCCGGTCGCCGTCTTCCCCCCCACCGCCGCTTCCCCGGCTCTCTTTCTCTTCGGTCCCGAGATGGCCGTACTCTCTGCTTCTGCTTCCCTCGCGCGCTGGCGCTTCGCGGACGCTTCCGCCTCCTGCCTGTGCCATTTCCTCATGAACCATGCCGCCCCGTCCTCGACCTTGTTGTACCACACCTCCGGGTCCTTGGCGCTCTCTTTCCATTTCCCCCCTTCCTTCTCGTCTCCCATGTTGAAGGCCACGAGGTCCTCTCCTAGACGAGACACCCAGTCGCGCTCCTGCCCGCCCCGGTATCCCACGCCCCACGCCATCGCTCCTAACAGCATGCGCTTGGGGAGGCGGCTGTCCTCCATGCGCATAACAAAGTCCGCGAAACACAGTCTCCGTTTGCGCACGGTGGCCTCGATGGTTTC